ACGAAAGCCTTTAAAACGTTGTAATCACCAATTCATTTATTGTATGACGTGTTCTAATGAATTTCAGTAGCTCATCGGATATTATTAATTTATAATTCTTTCCATTTGATGGGATTGTCGTTAAATGATTGTAAAATGGATACTTAATTTCATTAGATAACCTCTGCAACAATCAAAAACATTTTGATTTATGTTGTTTGATCTTGTGTGTATTTTTGAGTATGTATAGGATAAGTATAGGATAAGATAATATATAATGTATATATATAAGTGTTTTATTATTTTCTTTATTTGTTTTTTTTTTAATTTTTTGTTATTTGATTTTTAATATGTTTATATCCAAATTTTTTAGTTCTTATTTAAAAATAGTTCGATAAGGTTTTGATGATTTATCCTAATATTGTAGTTTCGTTTTTATTAATCGAGATTGATCTGAGGTTAGAGACTTTATTTTAACCCAATACAGGTTAATTTTATTTCTAATTCGTTGAGGATTTAGAGAAAACTATTTAAAACTCAGATTTTTAACATTTAAAGACCTAATTTAATTTTTTTATGTATATTGTGTTATAATGGGTTTATTTTTTGGTCGATTGGCTATAGGTTGGCATAATCGAAAACTTACATTTTCTTTCATATTACTTATTGGTACATTGCTTATATTTAACAATATATATTTTAATTACTAATTATGCTATGTGGTTTGGAGTATTGGGTGTTTAACAGGAGTATATTACTGAGTATAGGCCGCACACCATAAGAGCAAAACTGTGGTAGTCAATGTTAGTCATTTTTGTTTAAGTCAACTAAAAACAATTTGATTTTGGTCGGCCGTACACCAAAAGAGCAAAACTGCGTTAGTCATCGTTATTTTGAAATCGTATCTATAGTATTTAGTCACCAACATGTTTTTCGACGAAGAAATAGTTATTGTCCCTATTCTGTGGTCTTTGTTGTTGGATATCGAAAAGGGTGAAAAACAAATATATAATATGGGTTAATCCTTAAAATAAAAAACGTTCAACAAATAATTTAATTTAATTTAATTATCTTTATAATTATAGATGGTTGATCTTTGTTGGACAAGTGTTATATTTGTTTCCAGGTCTATATTTTCAGTGATCATAATAAAGTCTGTGTAGACAAATTAAAAATAATACATATGTTTATTATTTGTTTATATATTATGTGGATATATAATATGTACACACATGATGAAGATTTATTTAATATAGGTACATTTGTCTCACATGAGAATTAGTGTACTCATATGTTTATGATTTACTGTAACTTTAGAGACTTATAAGTCAATAAATAATTGTGACAACGAGCTAAAACTTGTAGAACTTATTCAGGTTTGCCTCATCTTCATTTTAATATAATTAAATATTTGGTTTTAACGCTCGAATATTGTTTTTTTTTTATGGTTGATTTTTTACGTATCTAATAAGATACATTGCTCACCCATCTCATATATAATGCTGTATCTAAAAAGATACGAAAACTTAGATTCTGAAATAAAATCTATATTTTTTTATTATTATATGTATTTACTTTTCTTTTTATCCAGGGTCCTCTATAGGAGACAACAATATTTAATTTATTACTATTACTGAGATAATGAATTGTCTTCAATTTTATATTGAATTTATGGGACATGTAGATACAGTTGAATCCAAAAATAATTTTATAAATCATGTGGAATTCGAATCTAATTGGGCACAGTGGTCTCTATAGGTGTAATAAACAAATAATGCTCAGCCCCCCCCCCCCCACAAATTTCACCAAATTTCTGCTTTTGGTGCGTGCTCACACTAAAAACGCACTAGCTAGAACATAGTGTAATACAAAAATAATAATAATTTGTACTTATGAATGTTATGATGAAATTATTACACCAACAAAAATTGACAATTCACGCCATAGACATATGTACTACACGCCATACACTGAACAAATACGAATAACGCGAACAACAATTTAGGTAATCATATGCCAGACATCAATTCTATTTCAGACTTGCAGTATTGCAATAAATAACAACTCGGTGATTCGAAGAAGGTGCGTCGTCTGAGTGCGCCCCGTTAATCATATCGTACCTTTTTAATAGCCCAACTGCATCCGCGATCATATCACTTAAAATGTTGGTATATCCCATGTGCGTCCGCGATATTGCTAACAATATTTATCTTTATGGATAAAATAAATTGATAACTAATAACATTACACCATGTTAGTTTGCATTTACACTATACTCCATACGTAGAAACATACTATTCGTAACTAGTCTTCGACAACCACGTGCAGTATGTGTAGTGATGGGTATGCAGCTCGTTGCCGTCGAATATGATCAGTCAACACGGAAAGGAACTTAAAATTATTAAGAGATATAAAATGAGATTTCATAAAATATTGAATGATGATGTAAAACGATGGTGCTGTGTAAAAAAACGTGTACAGCTTACATGAAAACAAATATGAGTGAGAAGACAATTATTGATAGGAAATTTAAACCATAGTCATGAAATAGAATCTGAAGGAAAAATGATGAGACACGTAATTAGGAACTCTGTAAAACGAAAAGCTCAAGAACTTTGTGAACGTCCACTCAAGTTAATTCATCTAGAACTAAAAAATAAAAAAACGGATTTTTTAACGACGACTGACATATCTTGTATTCGAAAAGGGATTTATGCTGCTCGCAGTTCAATACTACCCAAAAAACCAACTAATATTCAAGACGTACACAGTTCATTAAATTCATTAGAAATTAAAACATATGATAATGAAACATTTATTCTAGTGAATGACAGTAATAAAAACTTGGTTATATTTTCATGTAAAAAAAATTTAACTACTTTATGTTGCCGTACAAACAATATGTGTAGATGGTACATTTAATTACTGTCCAAAATTTCTTTTACAACTTTTTACCATTCATGGTTTAAATAATAGTTATTATATACCATTAGTATTTTTTTTTATTGAATAATAAACAAACACAATCGTATTCTTCGTGTTTTTTGGCGTTAAAAAATTAATGTACAAAATTAAATTTATGTCTTAACCCCGAAATTATGTACGCAGATTTTGAAAAATTATTCATATGGGTGCAAAAAATGTTTGGCCATTATTACAAAAGGTTGTCGGTTTCATCTGGGACAGGCGTGGTAGCGAAAATTACAGAATCTTGGTTTAAGTATTCATTATTGTTATGATTTATCAGAAATAGGACAGATTTTAAAGAATATATTTGGATTACCCATGCTGAATGAACACGATATTGAAAAAAGTTTTACTGAGGATTTTATGTCTATCAAGCCTGATGATGAAAAATTAAGTCAGTTTTTGGATTATCTTATAGAAAACTATATTGATCAACAGTCAGACTTTCCTCCTCATACATGGGCAGAAATGAGCAGTAGCAGTAAGCGAACAACAAATGCGTGCGAAAGCTTCCATTCAAAATTTAATTCATGTTTTTACTCACCTCATCTGGACATATATTCTTTCTTGGAAATATTAAAAAAAAATTCAAATAAACACAACAATTTTAATACAAACTTTCAATCATATAACTAAAAAAAAAAAAGATCAGTCAATGGAAAAAATATTAAATTCGTTGAAGAAAATATACAAAAATACAAAACTGAACAAATGTCTAAATATGATTATGTGAAAATCATGACATTGAAAAGTTAACCAAAAAAATAGTTAATATTAACCCAATATTTTAAAAACGGATGTAAGCCTAAATAATTAAATTTTACTATACTATTTATACATATATTTACTAACTAAATGTTTTTGGGGTGTAAGCCAGTTCACCTCCTCGTGGTGCACCTTGGGTAACTCTAAATGAAATGGGACGCACTTAGGCTACCTACTTAGGTCAAAGTGTCAAAAAGTGACCTTTTCCTCTTGAGACGCACTCGGGCGAGACCTTATTCCAGACGCATTCGGAACATTAAATAAGGGATATTTTGGGACGCACTCGGAAGTCGCCCCGTAGAAGACTTCTTACCTATTAAATTATAATAATACGACGTATCCGCTTGGGATAATTTTAAAAATAGTATCCCAGTTGTTTACACTTGAACATTCAACATACCATACCATTTATGCACACCTGACAATATGATATATTGCTATTATCTTTATTTAGATAAATTTAGATTAATTGACAATTTTGTATATTATTTGTGAAATTATTCCTTTGAATAATAATTTTACTATTAAACACCTAATGACAAAATTGAAATAACCACAAAAAATTCATACAAAATGATATGTCACATAAAGATTGTAAAATAAAAAATTATTAGGGTTTCGGGTTAAAACCAATATTTTATTCGGGTTTTGGTTAATTCGGATGTTTAAAAAAAAAAAAATCATTCGGGTTATATGGGTTTTGGGTGTTTGATTTTTTAAGGGTTTTTAGGGGTGTTACGGGTTCGGGTTAATTCGGGTGCAAAGCCCTAATATTTTATTAGTTACTTACCAATAGAAATTACCCAAATCAAGATCTACGGATGATATGTGCTTGGATAACGAAGACGATTTACACAAAAAAATTAAAAAAGGACGATGTACGTTGTGCCCCAAAGGTCAGACGGTTTATAGTTGTACTAAGTGTAACGTGAGACTTTGTACTCTTAACAAAAGAAATTGTTTCTACATTTATCGTAAACAGAAATAAGTGCAGTACAATTATACTTTTGTGTTGTTATTTTCTTGATATTTGTTACTTAACTAAATTTATTTTGAAAATTATGTTTTTTGAAAACATTAAATGTTATGTAATGTAAAAATTGTTTAAAATATTTTATATTACAAAGCAATAAACAATATTTTTTTGACTTTTTATTACATAGTTTTACTTAGTATCTTTTTAGTAATAAATCTTAGAATATAAATAATCAAGTGATGTGCACTAATAGATACTAGATTCAAAATAAGGAATTCGTAGTGATGTATCCATTA